TTTATGATGAAGAAGTACGTGACTTTCCGGCTTAATGAGTTTACTTGAATCTCATATGGATATTTTCGGTATTGCCTTAACCAGTGATTTTTGAGCTTTTTGTGAGCTATCAGCCACCCAGATGATGGTAACTACGGTTTCTGGCTCAACCAACTCGACTAAGTATCCAAAACAACAAGAGATGTGATGTTTGTTTGCATACATTTACCTTATTATTGTTGCACTTATTTGCTTTTCTGGTTAGGTTAGGGATGTAAGATCCAAACTAAGGTTTGGACTGAAGAATAGCTGTTTAGGTGGGTTAGATACGCGCCCTTGCCCGATTGAAACCAAAACAAAGTAAGTGGGTAAAATGACGGTTCTAAAATTCATTATAAATTTAAATGTACATTATTACCTAGACAAATATGACCACCCAGCTATCCAACCAATAATTGTTCAATCAATCAAATCTAAATTACAATAAATAAGGAAGTTGACAAAGGATGTGAGAAAATTACCAATCGCAACGAACAAATGCTGTTTTATTCTGTCTGGATAGAGCACGCACCGATTCGTTCAAAAGATAATATTTGACTGCTTTATAACACAGAGTGTTTCCAATTCTGGAGGGGTGCTTCAATTCACATTCGAAAATGCACAATATCAGTCAATACAAGCAAGACGGTCAAAAGGGAAACAAACCAATATAGCTGCCGCCAAGACTAAGTATCAAGTAAAACAACATAAATGCAGTTCAGGAAGAAACACAGAAACCTAGTAAAGGCGTAAGAAAAATAAAAACTATAATAAAATACAAATATTACCAACTCAAATGGAATCAAGAAGACTAACAATGTACAACTAAAAGAATCAATAGGAACAAACTGCAAGTGTAAACATAGAGGGATTTTTACACACAAGACATCCAAAATGGATCTTACAAAGGAGGCGAGGTTAAGGTGTGTGATAATTAATAATAACACAAACACTCGCATCTATGCCTCGAATCACATCATGTACAAGAAATGACCTTAAATGCACCGTTCATAAATCAACAGGATGTCCACTTAAGTGGAATTAAAAGTTACTGGCCGATGCATTGCATTGCTATAATATATGTCATAAATGTACTACCTAAACAATTTTTGAACTAATGAACTTAAAACAATCTTATATCGTATGTTTGTTCCTTACATTTAATGTTACTATTTATATCAAACTGATCATGACTGTAAACTGGCGTGAATTCTGTAATTACTATTTTGAGGTTATATATATATAATCCAACGTGCTTCAGCACATTAAAAAGGTGATTTTTCAAATACGCGTAGTGAGAAAAAGTTACCATTCACCAGGCCTTTGATTTCACGCAAACATCGTGGGGTGCTATTTCAAATCTGGTTGATTAACTAGAGCGATAAGATTATAACTTACGGTTGACCTTTGAGCGATGTCAGAATAACCTCGAGGAAATTCACCAACCTACTGTGATCTATTGAGGGTTATAAATTAATAAGAAAGATAAAAATGAGGATTTAGATTTATAAGTTAGGGATAAGAATTGGAATCATGGTTGTAAGCTATAACTCCAGAATCCTACTTAGTCATGTGGATGGATGGGTTTTGCACTGCAATCTGAGACCCGCTTTCTTAGATTCGATTAGTTCATCAACAAATTACAGTTTCGCATTTTTCGTGCCTGATATATATGTTCCATCAAGCTTCCTGATGTTTCCCAGACAGTTTATAGAACTTCACCAACTATTTGTTTTACGACCTCTGGTTTTCATCGTGTCCAGTGATTATATAGCAATGCAAACATTTCACTAGCAAATGAAAAGATTATTGACAAGTGTTTTTTGTTGTAACATTCGTTGTGCGACTGAATTACAGGATGCCCAAAATTGTTTACAGTGCCATTTTTCATCTCCAAGAAAGAAAAGAATATACAACTTCGAAGTTTTCAGCATACATAAAAAACCCTTCCTGATTTAGCAGTGACACATGCATAACCAAATCATATTATAAAAGTTTTGGGCTTACTACACAACTGGTAATGGGTGGACTTATTTTCTGATACTTTCAACATATGGTTAAAGCTGAGGTCAAGTCAACAGAGTAAAGGCACTTTTATACTGTATAATTTAAAAGATAAAACAACTGTCTGTGTGAAGACAAACTGAAATCCTTTCGTAAATTAAGATATAACAAAAAATTAATACAGCCCTTGTATCTATGATTAATTATGTGATCCAAAATCTAAAGTCCAGTTTGAGCATGATTTCAAAGGCTCGTGTCGATTAGAGGAAGTAAGGTGTAATCGGGAAAAATTCGGAATCCATGAAATGACTGAAGTGATATCAGCTGTCCTATAATTAGACATATCTTATAGCTAACTTAATGATGAGTAATATGTGTAGTTTTTGTTGACTCCGGGGAATATGTATGTTCGTTGGATCTATTGACCATTTTTGGCACTAAAATAAAAATACGTGGGATGTCTATTTTTATGGAAGGAATAAGATATATTATCAGCCCCCTGGGGGTTATTAATTATTGAAGTCGGAAGAATGAAACTAATACAGAGATTGGATTATACAGTATCGTTGGTTTTACTAGGGTCACCTCGGAACAGGTCTTCGTACTTTCTATACCACGAATCAAGTGTGACACTAAATATACTGTTAATTTAAAATTTAGTAGTTGAACTAATAACTGAATTTATATGTGGTACTTACATCTTGTTGGGTGTATAAGTTTACTATTATTATTATTATTATTATTATTATTATTATTATTATTATTATTATTATTATTATTATTATTATTATTATTATTATTATTATTATTATTATTATTATTCACAAACAGCTAATTTCAACATAAGTGTTGTGAGAAAACCGTTTCAGGTTTCCTCGTAAACGCAGTTATACACAAGTTTCAATAACGTTTATATGGTATTCATTATATTTCAGCAGGTTTTGTAGTAATTAGAAGAATACTAAGTTGACTTTAAAAAATAAGAAAGGGATTAAGAATGAAACGTGTCGATAATTTAATAAGGATGTTCGTGAAACAGAATAAGAATAAACGATAATACATGTATTACTTAACGGATTTAAAATAAATCATTATAGTAGTAAGATTTGATGGCAGGATCGGAATTTATGCAGTGGTAGTCAAGGATTATGCAATGAAAGTCTTCATTTATATCAGATAAGGGCAGTCCAATATCAGCTCGAGGGTCATAAATACGTGGTGAAGATAAGGTGATTCTTCAAAGTCAATTCATTTAAGTAAGCGTAATATAAGATTTTGTGTATTTAATTAGAAACTCTAGAGGAGTAAGATTATAATTACTATAAAAGTAATAAAAGAGAATGAGAGGAAGTTTACCAATAGGAGTACGTTATGACGTAAGAACATTATTCATTATCCATTCTATTGTTACGAACAAACACTGAGGTGGAGGCAAAATTCTAGAACATCTTCGTAAAATATAAGAACAATACACTGACTACTACATTTGCGAATTTTCACCATTTGTCCTTCACGTTTTTGTATGATTCTTCCAGTCCACAATTCCTTTCCATTTTTCGTTCTATTCTCTTCAACTTGATCTTCTTAGCCTTCTGCTGCCAGGTTTTCCACTTCCGACTGGTGTTGCATACTAATTATGTCAACAGACATAATTAGCATACACTACACTGTCTTTTTTCTAAACAATCCGTCAATGTTTCAAGGTGTTTTGAGAAGCTAATTATTGCGTATTCGTCTAGCTAACAGTCGATACGTTTGGCATATTCAACGCTCCCAAGGTTGATTTTCTATTTACTTGCCAGACTTTCATTCCCTTCAGTCGACTAAGCTATCCATGTCAAGTGTACAGCCGCTATCTCACAATAATTCCTGTCTTTTTTGGGTTCTAAAAAGTTGTTATTGAAGCCTTCATTTAAGCACTGAAATCACATTCGTACTTGTGATCAACCACCGATAGTCACAAGATTCATATCAATTCAGACTGTCTGTTAACATTGCACATAGTGTTTCTGTTATTAATAGTGACGGGAAAAATAAGATAATAAATTATCTACAAACTGACTCATCTTGTCCAAAAAAATAATACACTTATGTACCCTGTATGTTAAATTAAATAGGGATGAACGCAACTCTGAGAATTTGTAAGTGATCGTAAGATTCCGATTTTGTGGGTCACTTTCTATTTTATAAAATAAGATCTAAATATGAAGGTTAAGTATTCCTTCTCGAATTAACTCTTCAAATAAATACTTGTGGATCATTTTGTAATACTATTAAAGAGTTTTTCAAAATTCATGAAGCCTTCTTTATTCAAGATCGCTCTTTCACAATTAGGTGGGTAGACAACGAACACGGCTGTATTTTGAAAATATAGATTTTTTACGAACATTGGATAGATTTCTGGTAAAAAAATCTTCATCACTGTGTTTGCTTCCAGGTTATCAATTTTTTTTGGTAAACGTTTGGTTATATTTTGAAATTTCTACATTCTGCTGTGAACTTATGAACTTAACTCGAAAATTTGACGTTTTGTTTATTCAATACTGTAATTACAGGATGTAAAATTAACTTGTAAAAATATTTCGGAACATTTATTTGCTGATTATTTCATTTTTCAGTTGTGGTTTTCACCTTAGTAACACATGTCAATCTCAAATCGTTTTAATCGGATCTAGATACACATAAAAGAAAAGATATCCTTTCTCTTTAGTACCATTAATGATACAGTAGAATAATTACTGACGAGACTAATTACTTCTTTAATTCCACAAGCTAAATAGTCATATTTTATTCAGGCCAAAAGTTGACTTGTTGTATGATGTACGCTTGAACTATGGAAGAATAACTCTTGATATTTTGATTGAAAGTTTTTATTTTTAATAATAATTTTTACACAAATTATGATTTTAGGAAACATTAAAAGTATGTTGGGATAAATAATTTATTTATGATATATAGTACTTAATGTACAATGCATTTGATAATACGATCTGTTCTTCTTTAGATCATTTAGTTCTCTAATATGGTAGTTTAAAAAGAAATTGTTTTAATATCCATTTGCTTTTTTTGTTTAATTAGTTATATCTAAAGAATCATAAACGCTTCCATATTTTCATTTATTTTCTGAAAATTTTGATTTGTTTAAACATATCCCAAGTAAATGTTCAACAACTGTCAACATATCGGTCTATTAGAAGACTGAATACTATTAGAATATCTCTCATTGAAATTCAAATCTTATCATGGAAGCTATTTCCCGGTGAACTGGGTGAACCATAACCACTTGAACGGTCATCTGATATTGTTGTGGAATCATGAAGGTTTAAATCAAATGGATTGAATAAAGAACATAATCTATTATCTGTATTCCTAATTAATTTATTGTCACAAGAACTTTGTTCAGCAGTAATGCGTGTTTTACACTTTGTAAATAGTTGAATATATGAAGCAATACATTGTGAATAGTTGAGATTCATTTGATATTTTTGGTTATTTTCATCACCATAATCTTCATCATCTCCAACGTCAGTGCAATTTTGTCTTGAAAGTATTTCATTTGAACAAAAACACGAGTTAGCAGTAGCTTTATAACAAATAATATTTCTTTTTTCTGGATGAGGCAGATCAATATCACGTGTAGAAATGTGTGGAAATAATTCCATGTAATCATGTTCACACAAAATAATGTTTTCATGTAGATAAAAACGATCTCCAATGCAGAACCTACATTTTAAAATGGAATAAAATGGTTATGAAATTTGCTTCTTTAGCTGACTTAAATGATCCAATGGAGACAGCAGTTATATTAAAACAGGAATAAATCTTATTTTACAGGACTACCGACAGTTGCATAGTTACTGTTTAAAAGCGTATATTTTGTATATAAAGAGATCTTAGTTTATCCAATTTAAAATATTCAAATACAAAAATGAATCACGAGATACTTAAGGAAGTTAGAAAAGCAGAACAGTATCTTACGAATTAGGATAGTTAATACACCTTAAGTGTAGGGAGTTGTATTGAACAAATTAAGTCTAGCTTTTATTTAAAAGAATTTGATTATCCATTTCACACTTTCTCTGTAATTAGTGACCTTTTTAGGGAAAAATATAATCGTTTCCTTTTAAAAATGCAATTTTCACTTTTTTCTTAGAGATTATATGAACTGTTACCAGCATTATTACTGTGTTACCTGATTAATTATTGTCGTTGATTAATCTTCTAAAGTTAGAGTTGTTTTCTATTTGCTAGTTAGAGGTTAATAAACATGGTTGGGCAATCTCGTCACACGTAACATATTTCTGCATGTAACCTAACATATCTACTGCCATTTATAGTTAATAATACTATATTCTGTTGGAGGTCGTCGGCAAAGAATTATCCGATTTGAGGACTGTTGAAAGCCGGAGAAGACAGAATGGCTGTTCTGTCCCAGCACAAGGATCCCTAGCGGTACTCACTCTCAATCCAGTCAGGGGTTGAATTCAGGATCCGTTTAGGTAGGGTCACGTGATATACAATCAACTTATTATTACTTACTTACTTACGCCTGTCACCCCTCATGGAGGAGCATAGGCCGCCCACCAGCATTCTCCATCCAACCCCGTCCTGGGCAGCCCTTTCGAGTTTTTTTCCAGTTGCTGTTCTTCCAATTCCCAACGTAGTGTGTTCCTCGGCCTTCCACTTTTCCGTTTCCCCTCAGGATCCCTATTTAGAATGCAGTATGGTGATTTCCGTAATGTACATCCTATTCACTTCCAAAGTCTTCTCCAAATTTCTTTCTCCTTTTGGAAGCTGGTTTGTCCTATGTACAGTAAGCTGTTGATGGTGGCATCATTCAAGGTCTATAACCATCGGTTGCTGTCGTCTCGCGGTCCCCAACCAGGTAGTCTGCACCTATCAACATGGCTCAGTCCACTTGTCAGTGACTTCATGGATTTGTGCCATGTTTTGGTCTGGCCGCCCCTAGCTTTCTTCCATCCTACTCCTACGCCATGAAACAACGCAGTCGGTGGTTGGACATGCGTGACACGTGTCCCAGCAATCTCAACTGATGAATTTTCGCTACTTCATCAATTGATTTGCCATCCTTACCTAGTACCCGGTTCCTAACAGTTGCGTCACTTACTCGATGGTCTCAGGATATACGAGAAATGCTTCGAAGACACCTATGATCGAATAATAGGACTGAACGAACTGATGCGCAGTAAACACGTCCTTTGGTTGATAGACAGATACCTCACGTACGTCATAAATGACGCAAGTTGACAAAAGCTAGTCAAGCATTCTGTATCCATGCTGAGATTCCGTCACACACTAGACCATAAGGGCTGATGAAACTCCCAAGATAAGTGAAGCAGTCGACACGCTCAACTACTTCACTCCCTATCATCAATTCAGGTGTCAATGCAAACCAATCCTGAAGCAACATTTTGCATTTCAAGGAGGAGAATCGCATTCCGAACATGCTTGGATTGTTGATATCAATGAGCATATATAAAATGAAGTTTGTGCACAGAAATACTTGTCTGAAAAAAAAGTTTTACTCCGTTTAAGAAATTTATATTAAATTAATTAGAATAGTTTAATCAATTCACAATCATTTCATTCTGATCGATCAAAATATGAAGGTACTCTAATTAAACTTTACATGTTCACTGATAAATATCACTGTAATTTATGACGGTAAGTATATGAAAGAATTTTTTCCTAGTGTTTTATTTCTTAAAAATGTCTTTTGACTTCCTTTCATAATGTAAATATTATTTCTATTATTATAAATAAAAATAAATAAATAATTAATTAATTAGTTACCTCATTTGACAATATTGACAACAAAAACAAGATAAATGATAAACACTATTTTTTATCTTCATAACAAATTCATATGATTGTACTTGTTTCTGACAGATGGAACATTCACCCGTTTTACCATACAATCTAGAATGTAATTTTGAGAAGAAAAATTATAATAAAATTGTTCTTATATTGACATGATCAACAAAATTGTGTAAATTTGAAAATAGACTTTTGAACCCAGAACTAGAACAACTGAAAAGCTGTTAAAAATCAAGATATAATGGCTAGATATTTGGGTCTAGTGAAATGTTGTAACATAGGGAGTTGGTTACGCTAAAATTGTGGTATTAACTCATCAATAACATTGATCATGAGCCATATTATACCACAAAATAGTTGGAGCTAAAGGTATATACCACTAAATTTAAACTTGATGGGTACTTAATTTGTGCACGAAACAATCTTTAGGACAATGAACATGTTACTCAAAAGTTTCATCCGTTTGAAGATTTAAAAGAAAATCAGATTGGCAATATGACTTATTGGAATAGCGTTGAGAGGCTCTAAGCTGTCAAACAAATAACAAATTGCAAAAACATTTTGTCGTTTTGATGTTTGGGCTATTTTCTGTCTTGGTGGTCTTCATGTGATATACGTAAAGTGGTATACGTAAATTTAACGGTTTACTACAATCAGTATTATTCTGACCTATTGATGTTGCTACAACAACAATTATTTCTGTAACCTTTCACACCTTGATTTATTATGATCATGTTATGATGTGGTTAATAGTTAATACTCGCTTTTATTTGTTGTTTCATCTCGTATAATACTATATGTACCGTAATATTTGTTCATGTAATTCAATTTTCTCAAAAGTTCTCTAGAAAGTCTCGTGTACTCTTTCTCATGAGAGATTACCAGTGTCAAAGTAATATCACATATCATGTAATTGATTTGTCGGTGAGAGTTTAATTCAAGGACGAATCAACGAAATCAGGGATTGCGAGTTTTGATTTTGGCGCGAAATCTATTCATTCATATCGTTAAATAATATCTTAGGAGTACAGTTGATATCGGTTAGTGATAAAAACCCTTACTTTAATTCGTAACCTTAAATTCTAACTCTAAATCTGAATCCTAATTACTCATACTAATTTATAACCCTCTTTTGACCCTAATAAGTAGGTGTGCCGTCTCAAGGTCACTTTAGAGTCATCCAAAGGTTGTCCATAAATTAAAGTCTCACCAATTTGTCTGGTCATGTGTAGATAATAATTAGTATTTACGGAATCCTCAGTCGACCTTAACACTAGGAATACTGAAAAAATAGTCAAAAGTAAAATGCCTCCCTCCTTGTTCTGTCTAATAAGAGAAACTATTTTAATAGCTCATGAAAGTAGACATTTGTTCGCATAAAATCTAGTTTCAATAAGATTTAGATGAATGAAATAAAGCGAATTGGAATTTTTAGGAAATTTGATGTGTTGACTGCCTTGTTACTGTTGATGACCACTAAAATTCCGGATGGAACTCAGTTTTATGAGAATTCTGGTTAGCGTTTCTTCATCAAGATTGTTTTCTACGGGATGGGGTTGCCGACTTTACACCCAAACTTCCTCCTTTACCCGGGCTTGAGACCGATAGTTTTACGAAAACAAATAGATTTATTGATTCGATGGTCGATTTTTGGAAATAAAATTTACACTATAATTGACGCAAAATTTCTGAGAAGTAAAATGGTGACATGATAGACTTACATTTTTGGAAATTGGGAAACAAGTCTATCGGTTAATAGAAGTTTATAAAATATTCGTATGATCATTTGTAGCCTTTCGTTTAAAAATAGAAACCAATATAATTTATACATGGGTTTCTACATGAGTTTCTACTTGAAGTGCGGAATCAGTTTTGGTAAATTATGTCTATTTATATGGTTATTTTAACAAATGAGGTATCTTGTCTTGTACAATCGGTTTGTACTGTTATGATTTAAAAAATACTCTCTATCATAATTTCCATTTAAGATTGATGCTTTTCGTTGTTTTTCAATATCTGGAACGTAGAAAAGTATTATGCTTCCTGACTAACGTAATCTCTATTGTTGAGTGATTCAAAAGTGGTCACTGTCATTTTTGAAGTCCTGATAAATTTATAGCACAATTTAAACAGATATTATTACGCCAAGTATTTTGTATTTTAACTTACTGAACCAGTTATAAATAAATGATATATTTGTAGTATCACAATGAGTAGAAAAATGAGATTTTCTGACGTTTCGTGACTAAGTGTAAGCCACTTCTTCGGAGAATAAATAAATAAACAAATCAAGATTAATTCAAGTTTGAATAGTACAACGGAACAACACAAGAATATTTCTGTGATCAGTCAAAAACAGGTCTGAATAAATCCATGTCACATCATTTCGGTCAAGGTTATTCATAAGCGACATGTATGTAAATTTGTATATATGAGAGTGTGTAATGTTAAGGATGAAAAATGTATGACATTTATGGTGAGAAAGGACAGAGTTTAATTTGTAAGATCATCTTGATTTGGTTATTTATTTATTCTCTGAAGAAGTGGAATACACTAAGTCACGAAACGTCAGAAAATCTAATTTTTCTATTCAATGTGGTATTACAAATATATTATTTATTTATAACAATCTACCTAATGCTCAATTTATTAGAAATTATCACGTCAAACCTTGGTAATGATATCTACTTAATGAACTAGTGTTATTTTACTTTATTAAAATACTTAAAAATATACATTGACTACTTACTTACCTTAGATAATCTCTTCGACATAATGACATCCTAGCTTTAATGTAGAAAATTTTATCTAATTCAGCTAATCTAGCATCACAGCATACACAACGTAGACAATCTTCATGCCAGTATTGACAATCAGCTAATAAGTAATGACTTTCTTTGATGCATTGTTTACACTTTGAGCAAAATTTCAACTCTGACATTATAAAGTTACTTTTAATAATAATAGAGTTTGAATTGTTCAAGTTTTCAACGATTTTGTTTCTAGTTATGTTTAACATTAAACCATATAAATGTTGTAATCTAAATTTAATGAACTGTTGAGAAGGAAAAGAAGAAAAGCTTAAGGAAAAATATGTGAAAAGCTTTTAAAAAAGAGTGGTTATTTGATACAAGCTATTCCACTTACTGAAAATTATACAATCAGATTAACTTTATGGAACGTATTATACAATGAGTTTATATTTCATTAAGTGTATTGATGAAAGTTGGAATTTTAAGAAAAATGTGTCCAGGGTTCTTCAACGTTGTCACATGGTGCACTACACACTTAAGGTATTAACTAAAAGCGAAATCACATTTCAGTTTTTTCTTTGATATTAAGTCTTAACCACTTAGTTTTATATAAAAAAATGCCTTGCAGTTACTCTGAACAAACATTTAACACTATAATCAGAAATGATGGTGTCTAGCAGTGGAATCCAGGACGAGGGTACTTGGTTTGAGTCCGGGAGTGAACATTAATTCCGGGATACTGATACATCCAGCTAACTAGTACAAAAACATTTAGGATTACTTTCACTAGAACTAGTTAACTTCTGTATAGTTCGAAATTGCCGGACATCATAGTGATATACATAACAATTATACCTAACATCTATCACACATAATAACGAATGTGTACATTGATATTAGAAATGCCGTAAATTACCTACACTTAAAAACTCTGTTTAATTTATTTATCACATTTTAAAACGTGAGTTCTTTGAGAGTCTGCTATAGACAGTCACGTTTGTGAAATTATCATTACTTATATTAAAGTAGCCTAACTTTTGTTATTTTTTCTGCATCTTAAAATACTTGAAACTGTTTATTAAGAAATGACCATGCTTTAAGAGTAATGTTCCATTGATGATATTAAGTTTCGTTATTTGTAACATGATGAAACTACTTTAGAATTAGTTTTTTTGGAAAGTTAATTATTTACTAATATGGGCATTGTTTGAACCACTGGAACAGCAGCATTCAATTACTTACCGTTTTTCTAGTTCTCACTCGAACATTAAGAATATTATTCAGCGCTAATCCGTGACAAGTAGCGTTATATTACATCAACTATGTGGAGGCCTGTTTTCATCCTAATGTGATTGACATGTTTTATGTAGATAACTACTGATTTCATCACTCAATACCACAATAAAGTAGAGAACAAGAGGAACTTTAGGTTTCATGTCTGCGTTAAGCTGATAATCAGTACTCCAAAATTTCTTGGTTCAATATGAAGTTAAAAACATATTTACTCTGTAAAACAATGTTGGATATGCACTTTTTGATCAATTAAGTTTCAAAAAGTTTTAATTCAGTTTAAATACCTTAATGTGAAAGGCATTGAAAAATCAGTATTTATTTATTAAGAGGTAACGAATCTGTAATAAATCTTCAACCCATGGTGCATATGTACCTCAAATTCTTCAACGTATATAATGTCTCAAAGTCCCACTTATAGTAACAGTTCCTTTAGAGATTAATTTTGTTTATCATTCAACATATGTACTGGTTTATTATTGTTCAATCGATAATTATGCATAAAAACATGTTTTGATACTACAAATGATAATGTTTTATATATATTTTAAAGAAGAAATTAATCGTTTTATCAAAATGAAAACTTTAGGCACTAACTTATAAAATAAGATAAAATTTCGAAAGTAAATTCGTTTTACTTTTTAAAAAAAAGGGAATATTATTGATATTTGTAACTAAAAAAGATAATTGAACACTTGAATGATCTAACTTCAAGGGTAAAATTAATCTTAAAGGACAAAAATCTACAAAATAATTAATTAATTAATCAATCATTTCAGTGAATCAGTTTATTGTAATGTAAAGTTTCAACTCCGCATGGAGCCTTCCTGGGGTTACTTCCGGTCCCAAGCCCGGATAAAGGAGGAGGGTTGAGCATTGGGTTAGCGACTTCATCCCGTAGAAAACTAACTCGCTAAAAAACGCTAACCAGAAGTGAGTAAGTAAGTAAAAAAAGTTTCAATGACCATATTTTACTTAACTCATGGATGTTTATTTTCTTCTGTCACAATATGTCTTATAATTCATATAAAATCAAGTTTATCGAATGTACTCAGAGTTCTATTGTACTCTAATTTAAGATATTTAAAGCACGATTAATTTAGATGTTTACAAAATACTGTAAAAGATTATTTATTTAGTTTAATTGATAGATCTGCTTGGAAAGTAGGATAACATTAGAATAGAGTTATCATGAGAATATACACAATAAGATGATAAGATTGGTTCATAGGTTTATTAAAATTTAGACAAAGGATACAAGTATCCTTCAACTATGCAGGTTAAAAATGACATATATACTACATAAATTAAAAATGTTTTACCTTAGTTTTCTTTTGTACTTCAGATGTATTAAGTTAATAACCAAAACACTTGTTAACTTCTTATCTCGCTAAAATGAATAATTGATCATTCAATTTATCGAAACATTCAGTGCAATATTCGATACTAAATTAACTAATTATTCAAATATCAATGGTTAGTCACATTATTATAAAAGAAGAAATTAACTACCGTTGTTCAGAGAACATGATTGTTTTAACAAGAGAAATTTACTGGAAATGGTCATTTGGTTGAAGCAATATGTGTCTTTTATGAGTGAAATTTAGAATACTCACAGAAGTAGTTTATAGTATTCAGCTTATCTTGATGTGATATAAATATGTAAGTAATCTATTTACCGAAACAAAACCATCATAAAAGTCGTCTTAGAATGTTTTTCATAGTGGAATTATATAATCATTATTAATGACAAATAATAAATGGTAGTATTCCGTGCTGGCATGCCAAGGTATTATACGCTTATAAATGTTTGCTAATAACTGATTTCTTTTTAAACACTTATTGATGATGAAGAATTCCCGATTGATTATCATCTAGTTCAGACAATATGAAATCAATAGAACAATGAATGAATGTTACTAAAATTACTGTTGTAAAATGTTATACATGATTTTACGTACCCTCAATACTACTCTCATTAAATTATCTAGTTAAAGTCTAACTTTATAACAAAACATTTTTAATACAATACGTATTTTTCTAATTAAGTATTGTTTAATAAATGATAATCCTTGGCTTAACAATTTTAATGGTTTAACTATAATATTCAGTAAGTTAAAAGTAAATTTTATTGAAAAAACGAGTACAAAATTAGTTAAACTTACAAATTATTAAATGAAATCCCTTGATATTCTTACAAACATTATTTGAATGATTAAAATCTTTGAATAATGAATAACACTCCAGGTTTAGGTAGCAGATATTAGAAAGAATAACATCCTAATATAACTGTTAATTCAAAGCAATTAATATTATTCTCTATTTACGAATGACATTTTTCAGTTTTAGTAAATAACGACAAAATGAATGATTTTGACGGATAGAGAACAAAAAAAAATAAAACAAAATGAATATAAATACTTAATATTGATAGTTGATTGGTCAATTTAAACATAATTCTCATCAATTATTTTCTCAAATGTGAATAGTATTTAGTCTGTTTATAGATATACATGAACATTTAGTTGCTATGTGTGTATACATACATCTTATTTGTTTATAGAATACATGTTTTGTTTTTTTACAGCTATTTACACATTAAATATATAAAAATACATACAAAACTTAATATTAAAATGTATGTATACATTTGATAGTTAAATTTTTTATGATTGGATGAATGTTGAATGTTAAAAGGAAGATAACAAGGAAATGTAATTAATTTTTTTCTCTTCATTTTTTCTCTCTTTTATTTTTTCTTTCTTATTATTATCTCACTATAATCATTTATTTTAAATAATTTTTTCCTCAATTTAATTGTAAAAAATTTGTTAGATAAATCGATGGATGGTTTATCATTTTTAAATTTTATTATTATAAGTAAAAAAAAAGAATTTTATGTTGTTGCAACTCAGCAAAATAAAAAAAATAAAAAAATAAAAAAAATAAAAAAAATAAAAATAGACGAAAACAAAAATGAACTAGAGACAAATAATATTTAACAAAATAACCAATATGACTAAACATAGTAATTTCTAATTATTTATTCAATGATATAACGAAAAGAATTTATTAGTTCGAATTATACTCCTGTCGTAGTTAGATACGTTTATGTATAGAACTAATAGTTTTGATGAATGATAAATCAAATGACAGGACAGTATCTCTAAAACTCTCAACTATTGCCTAAATCTATTATAGATAAACGCTCTAGACTGTCTGTATGTGAATTATATGTACAACAGTTAAAAAATCTTTTCTTTCTTTACAGAATTAAGTCAGCTAGAGAACAGTTGAAAATCATGAAATAGGGAATAGTTATTTCGTCCTAGTTTGTATCCTATTCAGAAATGAAAATCGATGATACCACAGTATATCTTTGTGTGATCTTTTTAAAAAATATTACTGTTCACCATTCCCTTGGACATTTCCATAAATCTTCTAAACAGACGTTTACTATTATAAATATTATTATTATGGCAAAATGTTTTGAATCTTACTTGACTTCTATGATTTCCATAAAAAGTATAATTGAAACATTATTTACTCAGTAATTCAATTATTTAACTATCATATAACTAGATTATATATATATATATGTCTTTTATCATACAGTTTTGGTTAAACTATTGACCACTATTATATGATTTATCATTCTTAATTTACTCTCAAACTATTATTCACAGTCTCCCCTACTTTCAGCTGATATTGCGTTGATCACATGTAATTGTTATTCTTTATTTTATAGCATTATGCAATCTAGTTTCGTCGTACTTAAATTGCGTCTGTTCGAAATATGATAACAAAATCGTGTTGATGATCACTAGTCTCGTGTTCTTCCTTTTTGTTCGGGCCTTGTCAGTATTAGGTCAGTATCAGTCTTCTCGTCCTTGTTGTGTATTGGTTACATATATATATATATGCAAAAAAATTATAGTCGCAATGAAGTACATATTTAGACTTATAACAATAAATG